CTTTCAGAAGTTTCGATCCCTGCCACTCCCATCCTCACTCCACGGTTCTTCCTGGAGAGCTCACTTGTGCTGGCACTGCAGGGACAGAACAGTGAGCAAAGCAAAAGTCCTCACCCTCAGAGAATTGTATTCCTGTGGAAGGAGACAGAACAGACATGTCAGATCATACACGTGCTGCGGAGAAAAGAAAAAAATAGAGCGTACTGATCAGGGAGTGGCTTTGTTTTACAGCGGGCAAGCAGATGGTCTCTGTAGTAGATGGCATCTGAGCAGGTTGGGAAGGCATAGAGAGTACTGATCAGGGAGTCCCGAGAGCAAGGAGTGGCTTTGTTTTACGGCGGGCAGGCAGATGGCCTCTGTAGTAGATGGCATCTGAGCAGGTTGGGAAGGAAGTGAGGGAGGGCGCTATGTGGCCATCCTGGAAACGTGCAAGGCTGAAGGACCAGCAAGTGTGACGACGCTCGAGCGAGGCAGGTGTGGTGAATCTGAGCACCCAGAAGGAGAGCAGCGTGGCCGGAGTGAAGTAAGAGACATCACGGAGACTAAATCATGAGCATGTGTGCAGGTCACTGTTCAGGCTTCGGCGCTAAGTGAACAGGGCACTAGGGCAGGATTTGGTGCGGAGGAAAAACTAAATTACATTTTCCCAGCATCATTCTGGCTGTCCTGAATATAGATGATAAAGAGGCGAGAGGTAGTTTGGGGAATAATGTAATGATCCAGGAGAAAAATAAGCGTGTGCCTGGGGTAGCAACTGGTCGAAGTTCTTTGTATGTCATTTTAGAGTCAATGAGATTGGCTGACAGATTTGTGAGAGGGAACGAGTCAGTGATGAGCCCAAGGGTTTTGCCCGAGAGGCTAGAAGGATGGAGCTGCCACCTTTAAGATGGGCACTCAAATCCGAGTGGACAGGCCAAGCAGATATATTGTTTGAACATCTGGTCGGGGCTGAGGTTCCGGTGGCGTGTGCAGAGTGGGCAGCCGACATGGAGAGCTATCAGCATGTGGGAGAGCACCCTGCGGAGCCCGCACTGGAGGGGCCCTGGACTAGCGGGGAGGCCGGGTGGCGGGAAGCACAGCCTGTCTCGGTGTCCCAGAATAGATGACTGAAGGAAGCATTAATCTGCGGGAAGAGGACATGTGGGCCTGGACCAGGTGAGGATGAGGAAGCAGGGAGCTACCTGTGATGCAGTGAGGCGGGAATATCATTGGCAGGAGGGGCAATGGCAGGGACCACCCCCCAGGGGAGTAGCATGGCTGCCAGTCGATGTGCCCCTTGATGCACCTGCCAGCATGCCGGGGTGAGGAGCGGTTGCAGAGAGAATAAAAGAGGAACTACCCGTCCCGACGGGGTAGAAGGACTCATGCCGATGGTGAGGGGTGAGCCCACTGCAGGTAGTATGGTCGGATGGGAGGTTCAAAGCGGAAGTCGTGGTAGGAATTCAGTTTTGGTGTGGCCGAAAGAGCAGATGGCTGAGGTCAGGAAACTCAAGGTCACCCCAAGGGAGGGGTCAAAGACCCAAGCTGCAGGGAGGCCCGATGGAAGGGAGGGCTGTGGGGAGGGCAGACTGGCCCCAACCAGGCTGCTGTGGAGCAGAGGGTGAGGGAAACATGACCTGGAGGACCCTGACGGAATTCCCATGTGGGAGGTGAGGGCGGGAGGCCAGGAGGTGGCATCAGCAAAGGGAACATTCAGAGCCTGAGATTTAATTATCAACCACAAGCATGACCTGGAAATTTTTGGCTTCTGGTGGTGGAACACACAGGTCCTTTGGTGCCCCTCTACTGCTCATGTGAGGGAGGTTGGCTTTGGGCCCCTCTTCATTAGCCATGTGACTGAACCCCTCAGAGCCTCAATTTCCTTGTAACACAAGGGTGATGAGAACCGGCACAGTGACAAACACATGGCTGATGCCCAATAAACGGTAGTGCCCACGTCCAGAGGACTTTGAGAGTCACGAAGGGTTTCCAGTAGCCCCCTGTGGCAGCCTATTGTCCACTGCCCAGAAAGCCCTGGGCTAGCCTGTCACCTACTGTCCCTCAGTGCCCTGTGCTGTGCTGTCATCCACCGCATATAATTCATGTACCATATACTTCACCCATTTAGTGTCATTTCTCTGGTGTCCAGTGTAGTCACGGTTTGCAACCATCACCACAATCCATTTTAGAGCATTTTCATCAGCCCAGAAAGCAAGCCAGCACCCATTAGCAGTGACTCCCCGTGACCTCCCATCACCCCTCCCTAAGCAACCACTAATCCACCTCCTCTCACCATGAATTTGCCTCTGGACATTTCATATCAATGGAATCACACAATATGTGGTCTTTTCTGTCTGGCAACTTTCACTTACATGTTTTCAAGCTTCATCCACACAGCAGCACGTGTCAGAACTTCTTTCTTTTTATAGCTGTTTCATCGCGTGAATGAACCACATTTTGTTTATCCACTTATCTGTTCATGGGCTTTTGGGTTGTTTCCGCTTGTTGGCTAAGTGTAATGCTGCTGTGGACTTTCACTTACACATTGTTTTGTAGACGTGATTTTACTTCTCTTGGGTATGTACCTAGGAGTGGAATTGCTGGGTCACAAGGTAACTCAAAGGCTAATTTTTTGAGGAACAGCCACATTATTACCCAGAGTGGCTGCGCCTTTTTATGTTCCCAAACTAAGGCATTCAGGGTCCCTCTCCTGGGAATTTTAACCCATAGTAGGCACAAACCTGGCAGGAGATTCAGGTTCATTTCTCGACAAGGTTCCAGGGAACTCATGGAGACAGTGAGTCGAGTGTGAGCATTTGAAGGCTGGGGTTCGCACGAGGAGGCTGAGAGAGCCCCTGGGGAGGGAGGAGGGTGCTCACAACGGCTTCCAGGGAGAGGCGAAAGAAGACTGAGATTCTAAAGGATTCATTCGAGAGGAGAGAGAAGCTGCGGCAGCTAAGGGGACAGCGTGAGCAACTGCCCTGGGGCAGGGAGGTCAGGCAGCCCCTCGGGAGAGAACGCCATTACAGCGGTGTTGGCAGGACCGGAAGAAGAGAAAGGAAGTGATGACTGACTCCCCCTCCGCCAACAGAACCACCTGGGGACCACAGGATGCTGAGAGGCCACTTCGCCCACCCCCCACCTGGGTAGCCAGAACCCATGAAGTGCTGCTGTTTTGGGAGACCCTCTGAGGCATGTCAGGGTGATGGCCGGTACTGCTGAGCCCCCCACTGCAGCCCCCCTGGAGCCACTGTCCACCTGCTGACTGGCCAGGCCAGGCTAGGCCTGTGAAGACATCTGCTGTTGTGGACTGTGGTCTGCCCATGGGAAAATGTAGATATTGTCAGGTTTTCTGAAGTAGGAAAGTACCGTTGGGATCCATTACAACCTCTGAGGACTCTTCCAACTACTTAACGCTTCATCGGCTAACTCCATAAGGGGATTTAGTGAACAACCTGCAACAATACTCAACCTAGCTCCCGCAAGGGTAAGAAACCGGGTTAAAGTCGAGATCAGGCCAATGCCCAGAGATGCCACTTTCCCTATTGCTACAAGCTGAATTGCCACTCCCCACCCCCCCCAAAAAAGATATGTTGAAGCCCTGACTCCGAACACCTGTGAACATGACCTCATTTGGAAATAGGGTCTTTGCAGATGTCATCAGGTTAAGATGAGGTTACACTCAGTTACGGTAGGCCCTAATTCGATATGCCTGGTGTCCTATTGAGAAAACGAGACATGCAGAGGAGAAGGCCACGTGCCCATGCAGGCGGAGACTGCAGCCACAAAGCCGCAGGCCAGGAAGACCAGGGACTGCGGCAACCAAGAAGCCGGCAAAGCAGGAAGGACCCTCCGGCAGAGCCCTTGGAGGCGGTGCGGCTCTGCCGATGCCTTGGTTTCAGACTTCTGGCTTCGGAACCGAGAGAGAATAAAGTTCTGCCGTTACAGCCCAGCGGTTTTGTTTCAGCAGCCACGGGAAACCAAGCCGTGTTAACAATTTGCTGGGACAATACACAGAAGAAATAGTCTTCGAAGTTGTAAGAAACATCTAATATGGCTATTAGAAAAGAAGACAGTAAACTCAAAGCGTGTAGATTAAAAAGGGGGGCCTGCATCAGACCTAGGCCTTTCATTCCCCGGCCCCCTCAGGCGCTGCAGGCCACACCTCACACTAGTGCCCACAGGCCAGTGTGGTCTTAGGCCCGATCCCCACGCCCTCCCCTCCCTGTGCTGCTGCCAACCACACACACAAGACAGCCAGTTACGCTTGCACCCAATTCATCAGCCCTAATGCCGAGTGACGGCTCATCACCATTTATGTCGACAGACCTCACACACCACTGTCACAGAGCAGGACTTCCCTGAATAATTAATTTCCTTGTATTATGCAGCTGCCAGTTTTTAATTTTGCAATGTTCTCACATATTCAGAAGAGCTGCCACTTGCATATCTCCTTTTAGTTATGAAATGCCGACCCCTTTTGTTTACAAATAAAATCAATTAAATATTGCATCTAAGGAAAAAAAAA